GCTGCAGGAAGCGTGCTAATTTGAATCAGTTCCGCAGAGGATTTCTGGGAGTTGGCCATGACTGGGGTGGCCAGGGTTCTTTGTGATGAGCTGGTGGTGGACACAGTGGCTGCAGGAAGTGTGCTAACTCGATTCACTTCCACAGAGGATTTCTGGGAGTTGACTGTGACCTGGGTGGCCAGGATTCTTTGTGATGAGCTGGTAGTGGACATGGTGGCTGCAGGAAATGGGCTAACTGGATTCACGTCCACAGTGGATTTCTGAGAAAGACTTGGTGGGTTAGAAGCAAGAACAGGAGATGGAGATTTAAGAAAGCTGCTTCCTTGCCATGGAGTAAAACTGTTTCCTGATGAAGTCTTTTCTGAGCTCGAGGGAAGTTTGATGGTTGGAGATGGATGTCTGACTCCCTTCCCCAGGACTGAAGACTGAACAGACACAATTTTAGGCTGTTCAGTTTCTTTCCCTGGAGGAAGCTGGCCGAGGCTGGCTGAGTCGCTGGAACTTTGTGACATGGTGACCGGATATTTGGTCTTCTGTGGGACCACCACTTCTGACTCAGTGACTACTACCCCAGCATCAGTCTTTGACCCCGGCAGGACACTATCTGAATGGTCATCTGTGGAGGGGTGCAGAGGAGGAGACATCTGTCTCTCATATCTTACTTTTTTACGTCGCCTTCTTTTTCCAGAGATAAGTGGATCATTAAGCGACTGCATGAAGGTCAGCTTTGTTGTCTGAGACTCATCACCACCTTCATATCCAAATACAGAATCATCTTTTACCTCATGGGCTGGCCAGACTGTTGGTTGTGAGTCATCATATTTGACAAACTTCTCCCGTTTAGCATATTTCTGCACATCCACTTCAGAAGGTACAGCCAAGTCACAGGGTCTCTGTTTCCACATATCTACATAATTTTCTGCTTTAGAAATTATGAAGTCAGAATTCTCACTTGTTTTACTTTCTTTGCTTTTTTTGCAAGAAGTCAATACTTTTAGCTCAGGAGGAGGTGGACAATGAGACAGCTGCCGCTGCCGACTCAGAGAGGGTGCAGAATACCTCTTGAAGCTCCTTTTCATCGGGCGAGTGTTCATCTTTTGCTTGTTATAGAGCAGCCTGTTTGCCGTGCAGGCTACTGATACGGAAGGATCGAGACACAGGGGTTCCGCAGTAGCCAAGATCAGTTGGCTCTCAAGCAGCAGTTTGTCCTCCTGGGTCCATTCCTGGCCATCGCTGCTTATGGACTGCACGTCGCAGGCTAACGTCTGCATGGTCGGGCGCAGGAGAATATGCCTGCTCTGGTAGCCGGGAGGTTCCCCGCCACCGCACTGCCTGTAGTCCCGCACCTGTGCTATGACACACCCACAGTGGAAAACGTTAACCTGAGATTTTTCCAGGAGGTCCAGCAGACCAGGGGGTAACTCCTCAGCATCCAGGTATTCCAGCAATTCCCCTTCTTCGTAAGGCAGCCGAATGGTCTCCGAACACGCCCCATGTTTCCCCTCGAGCATCAGCGAATATCCCCCCTCTCCCGGGTATAGGTTGACCACCAAACAGGGCAACGACTCTCTCCTGACGAGCTTCTCTAGCAAGTTCACGTTGCTTCTTAGCTCCTCCGGAGCCTCAGGCTCTTTCCCACATTCTTCCACATAAATGTCATAAAGTTTTTCATAGAGAGATGCTTCCCCACTCGACGAGCGTTTCCTTGTAGGAGGCCTCTGCTGGGCACTTGCGATGACATAGTCCGCACGGTCCAAAGCTCGTTCTACAGCCTGTTGCATCGTGGGACAAAAGGGGCCCCAAAAGAAGACAAAATGCAACTGCCTAGTGGAGCGGGGTAAAAACCCTGCCCCTTCACGTCAGTGTAGAGTCTTGGAAGCGCCGCAACTCCAGAGTGGAGCCACCAGCTTAACTTCAAAAATGATACCAAGAAACCCACCAGCAAGAAAGCAATACACAAAATCTTGCAAGTCTCTGAAAATACCTGTATCTGTATAGGCTGCAGCCACTCCGCCGGGCCTTGCCTCACCTCACCTTCGGTTGTCGCCCCTCGTTAGACCGGAAGTCAGTGAGGAGGGGTCAAACTACACAGCCTTCTGTGCGCTTGCGTGCTGCCTCGGGCTGCACCTTCCGCTTCCTTGGCGGTGTCGTTTTCAGTAGTCTGTACTTCCTGTTGTGGTGCCTGCGCTCCCTGTTGTGGTGCCTGCACTTCCTATTGCCAAGTAGGGCCAGGCGTCTGTGTTCAGTCAATGCAGTTTAATAGGATAATAACAAAAAACATTTCTAGAAAGTGATTCCGTGTCATCCTTTCCCCCACTTTGTTCTCATAAAGCAAAGAGCAAAGAAAAATTACAAATATAATATGTCCTATGTGCTCTCCTTTTCCCCCATAGAAAATGTATGTTCAACTAACAGCTACTTTTGAGAATTAATTATGAGGGAAGTAATATGCTAGAATTGAGACAGTAGTATCAGTGACAAGTGACTTGCCATGTAGGAGTTAACAGTTTCCTTGGTGAGGCAAACAAATAATCAGATAAATAGAATACACCACAATTTATAAACTTGTGGGCAGAGTGATAAAGGAAAAGAAGTGTTAAACATGGAGAAGTGAAAAAAACTACTCCCAAAGGAGGTGATGGTTGAGCTTTCTTAAAGGATGAATAGAAAGTTATCAAACAAAAGGATTCAAGTCCTGGCAATTCTGAAGTTAGAAGAGAAATCTAGACTGGAGCTATGGATGAGGATGTTATCTATTTGAAATTATTTTCCAGAGAGTTCCCACCATGAGTCATGCAAAGCTACTCAAAATTTATCCAATGCTTCAGGAACTTTACAAAGCGGGCATTTTTACCCTCTTTATTTTCAAATGAAGAAACTGACATTCAACCAACTAAAGTAATAGGCTCAAGGGTATAAAATGATAAGCAGTTGAGGCAGGGAACAAATCCAAATCTCTGACTGCAAAGCCTGACCTCTTTCCCCTTTTTTATGAAACTAACCCTAAAAACAGAGGAGCATCTGGAAACATTGACAGGGAATTTGGTGGTAGGTGCCCAGCTGGACATCATCTTACATGCAAATTCTGTGGTTTTTTTTTTTCACAAATGTAAAACATTAAATTACTTATTTTGAAGCAAAATTGACAGTTCATGAAGATGCCCCATTAGAACCAGTCATGGAAAAATAAATACACAAGAATGGTGAAGAAGTTGTTTTGGAGATGGGTCAGGGGGTGAAGGAAACAGGTGATGGGGATTAAAGAGTACACTTATGATGAACCCTGAGTAATGTATAGAATTGTACACTGGGAAATGATATAACACTTTATGTTAATTATACTGGAATTAAAATAAAATACTTAATAAAAAATAAGTAATGGCAAGAGATTTGCCTTACCAGGTATTATATCATACTAAACAGTGTGTTGGTGTATAAATTTCAGGAGAAGTAAGTTGAAGAGTTGGATATCTAAGAAATAATTCCCAAAATATACAGGAGTTTGACATACAGTAAGTGTGGCATCACATGTCAGTGGAGAAAAGATAAAGTTTTCACTCAGTATTGTTTGTAAAAAAGGAAACTAAAAAAAAAAAAAAAAAACCTTTTCTGTCTTAACATTTCTGTAAAAATAAATGAATCAATGATTAAACTGTAAAACTACTAGAAGAAAATATTGAAAAATTTTAAAATATATATAATTACAGAGTAGAAAAAGTCTTTCTAAAAGTCCCCAAATCCAGAGGGTATAAAATGATTGATATAATTATTAGAGAGAAATAAAAAACTCTCTTCATGTCAATCAAAATAAAATTAAATGGTAAATGACAAACTGACAGAAGATATTTGCAATAGAATTCAAAATAAACCAATATCCTTAATATAAGAAAATCCTATAGCTCTGCCATACCATTTTATATTTTGTGCTCATTTTTGTTGTTTCCACTAGTTGTCTTTATACTGATACCTTTATGTAATAATCTCAGTCTTCTTAGATTTTTCTGTGATGTCAGCTTACAATATTTTAATTCTCATCTGTATGTTAATGAATAAGGTTACTCTGTGTTCCTTTCTCTCTTCTCTTTGCATTTTTAGTTATTTCTACTTCATCAGAGCAAATAATATTTACATGTTATTCTTACAACTGTAATACTTAATACTGCCTTTATTTTAGTACTAGATCATCAATTAGGTATGCTCACTACCAAAATTTCTCTAAACCCTTCTCCATCCTTATGTTGTAAAATTTTCATCCTCTATTTTTAGGAATAATTTATGTGTACAGTATTTCCTGAGATTCTTTTTCTAATGTTTAAAACTTTGCTGGTAATAAAATCTTGGCTCATACCTTGTCCTTTCCTTTAGATTCTTGAAAACGTTGCTCTACTATTGTGCTTTGTGTTTTCTTTTTTATAAGTGACATGGCCTTTTTCTCTGGAAGTTCAGAGGATATTATTTTCCATTTTATTTTATTTTATTTATTTTATTTTTGGTGTAGTTAACATAGTGTTATATTAGTTTCAGATATACAATATAGTGATTCAGCAATTCCATACATCACCCGGTACTCATCATGACAAGGGCCTTCCTTAATCCCCATCACCTTTTTAACCCATCACCCCACTCCTCTCCCCTCTGACAAGCATCAAATTGTCCTCTATTATTAAGAATCTGTTTCTTGGCTTATCTCTCTCTCTTTTTTTCCCCTTGCTCATTTGTTTTGTTTCGTGAATTCTCCATATAAGTGAAACCATATGGTATTTGTCTTTCTCTGACTTATTTCACTTAGCATTATACTCTCTAGCTCCTTCCATGTCATTATAAATGACAAAATTTCATTCTTTTTTATGGCTGAATAATATTCCATTATCTCCCATCTTCTTTAAACATTCATCATTTGGTGGACACCCGGGCTACTTCCATAGCTTGACTATGGTAAATAATGCTGCTAAAAACATAGGGGTGCATGTATCCTTTTGAATTAGTGGTTTTGTATTTTTTTGGGTAAAAACCCTGTAGTGCAATTGCTGGATCTTAAGGTAGTTCTATTTTTAACTTTTTGGGGAAACCTCTACTGTTTTTCACAGTGGCTGCACCCGTTTGCATTCCCACCAGCAGTACAAGAGGGTTCCTTTTTCTCCACATCCTCGCCAACACCTGTTGTTTCTTGTGTTTTTGATTCTAGCCATTCTGAGAGGTGTGAGGTGATATCTCACTGTAGTTTTGATTTGCATTTCCCTGATGATAAGTGATGTTGAACATCTTTTCATGTGTCTGTTGGCCATCTGGATATCTTTTTTGGAGAAATGTATGTTCATTTCTTCTGTCCATTTTTAAATTAGATTATTTGTTTTTTGGGGTATCAATTTATGTAAGTTCTTTATGTATTTTGGATACTAACCCTTTACAAAATATGTCATTTGCAAATATCTTCTCTCATTCAGTGGGTTGCCTTTTAGTTGTGTTGATTGTTTCAGTCACTGTGCAGAAGCTTGTTATTTGAATGTAGTCCCAGTAGTTTATTTTTGCTTTTGTTTCCTTTGCCACAGGAGACGTACTAGAAAGAAGTTGCTATAGCCAATGTCAAAACAGTTACTGCTTGTGTTCTCTTCTAGGATTTTGATGGTTTCAGGTCTCACATTTAGGTCTTTAATCCATTTTGGATTTATTTTTGTGTATGGTGTAAGAAAGTGGTCCAGTTTCATTCTTTTGCATGTTGCTCTCCAGTTTGTCCAACACCATTTGTTGAAGAGACCATCTTTTTCCTATTGGACATTCTTTCCTGCTTTGTTAAAGATTAATTGACCATATAGTTTTGGGTTCATTTCTGAGTTTTCTGTGTTTTCTAATCTGTTCTATTAGTCTTTGTGTCTGTTTTTGTGTCAATACCATACTGTTTTGATTACTACAGCTTTGTAATATAACTTGAAGTCTGGAATTGTGATACCTCCAGCTTTACTTTTCTTTTTCAAAATTGCTTTGACAATTTGGGGTCTTTTGTTACTTTATCAAAACCATTATACTTTAAAAATATTTCTTGGAATTGACCATCCGTTCTCTTTTTTCCTAGCATGTGATGAGTTCTTTTAATACGTAAATCCAGAGCTTTTATTTCAGCAATGTTTTCTTTAGTAGAATCTTAAAACATTTCTTCTATTCCTTTGATTTGCTATTTTTCCTTCAGGTATTTCAGTTAAAAGTATGTTGGATAATCTTTTTGTGTCTTTTCTGTCATGTTCTCTCTAAACTTTTTGTATTACTTTTTGTTTCTTTTCTGTTCTATCCTTTATAAGCCTATGTTAAATGTGGTTATACCTATTCTCTCTTGGGAATCTATTACTTTTATATTGCTGCCATCACAAATTATCACAAACTTACAGGACAAAACCAACACTCATTTTTGTTTTCTCATAGTTCTGTTGGTTAAAACACAGGGCAGGCTCAGCTTAGGGTCTCACAAGTCAGAAGTCAAGGTTGCCTGGCCAGGCTCTTAACTGGAGGATCTGGGGAAAAATCCACTTCAAGTAGTTGGTTAAATTTAGATTTTTGTGATCATAGGACTAAGGTTTCAATTTTATTCCTGATTGTCAGCCAGGGACCACTCTTTGCTCCTAAAAGTTGCTCATATTGTTTCTTTGTCAAATGTCTTCATCTTTACTCTAGTGATAGTTTATTGAATCCTTTTCATGCTTCAGGTGTCTCAGACTTCCTCTTCTACTACCAGATGGAAAAAGCTCTATGCTTTTAAGGGCCCATCTGGAGAATATGGGATCATCTTCCC